ATCTTTGGAGCAAAATATGAAACACATTTAACACGATTGTCATTTGGACTAATGAGTTAATCTACTCAAGTATATGAAAAATCTAGAATTCTCAATATAAAGCTTAAGAGTTTTTTTCCCCCAATCATTAATACGTCTATCCTAAGTGCTAATGTGTTAACATGCTAGAACTTCTGCTTAAGAAAGTAGATCTTTCCTATAAGTTTCAACCTGATCACTCTACAAAAAATTTAATTACCTCCGGTCCTTAATATAAGAGGTAAATAACTAATTTATGAATATTGAGAAAATTAATTACGTTAATTATATGTACTAAATAGATATTGTCATGTTCATTAAAATTGCCCTTTAACATCTATAATCACCATATAGATTATTTGCTGGCAAAATAGATAAATATAAGAGACAATGTGAATTGAGATTCTATATTTATGATCGAATTAAATCTTCAACTAGCTTTTATATTAAGAACTAGAGATAATATAATGTATGAAATATGTTATTCTAGTTCTAAAGAACGAACTAAGCAAATTATGCCAATGCCTTAAACATCTTAGTACAATAACTTATATATACTATAAAAAACTCTTAATATGTTAACATCTATGTCTTAATGTGTTATCCATGTTGTTTACAGCAAAGTTCCAATATTTCTTTGTTCTATTGTGCTAAGCCTTTTTGACAAATGCATCATCTATCATATTTTTACTCTCTAGACAATCTCTAACATGCTAGTCTTCATATGACTAACATCACCTTAACAAGCTTCAAAGTTTAGTATTACAACATGATAATATATTGATTAACATCTTAATCTTTAACACATCAAGTAGTCAGGAAAGTTTACCAACGGCCAAACATAGTTTCTAAAAGTAACATGCAACTGGTTCTTTCTAATAGTTATTTCACATATTGTTTTATAAATATGCCACTCTAAACAAGTTTAAAGTGCACGGAAAAGAGGGGAAACATGAGAAAAAGTTGAGATGATTGAATTCATATCTATATATCCTCTAACATAAAATGACTCCTCTTGAGCCATCAATTATCATTCTCTCATCCCACTCTTTAGGAGTGTTTTCATGAGTAATCTGTGTAATCAAAAGGGAGAGTGTTCCCTTGGAATTAAGGGCAAGATTGATCTTGGAAAGAATTGTAGTAAAGTTTTACATTTTGAAATCAAACTTGAGGAATTGCAGAGACATGCTGAGATCAAACTTAAAGGATTTTAACAATTTTGCAAGTGTCCAGATCAAACTTATGTGATATATAATGAAAAATCCCAGAAGATCTTTTGGGGACTAGACATAGACCAAGGGTTATACATTGGACCCCCTCTTCTTTTATATTTTTTTTTAATCAATTTTAGCACAATTATTGATATTGATTTTTGCATTACTCGCTTATTTGTTTCTACACTTATTGTTATTAAAGGTCTTTTGTTACACAACACATAGAGAGAGGGGGGCCACATGTGTATTATTTCCTCAACAGAACTTAGAGATTACGATTAAGAGATATTTATAAGCTAATAATCCTTTACTAACACTCAATCAATTACACACAATCTATTACTAAAATAGGATATGGGCTAAAATTAATGCAACTAACTCATATCATTTACACCCCACCTAAAGGATATCCTTGTCCACAAGGATGATGCTAGATGGTGGAGCAGAACAATCAAATGTAGGAAATTGCTGTTTGAGGAAGGAAAGATCCTCCCAAGTAGTGTCCTTAAGTCTGCTATGATTCTAGTGAATCAAAACTTGAGTAGCAGACAATGAACCGCACTTGACAAGCTTATGGCAAAGAATACAATCAAGTTCAGGAGAAAATTGACCTCAGCATTTATCATAGGCAATGAAGTAGTAACTGGAAGGCCTTGACTAACACATTTCTTCAACAATAAAACATGAAAGATTGGATGCAAATTTGTTTCAAGGGGAAGTTTAAGTTCATAGGCAACCTTTCCAACTTGTTTAATGACTTCAAATGGTCCAAAATAACAAGCAGCAAGCTTATGTAATGCAAAATTATAGATTAAATTTCTATGAAAGGGGTGGAGCTTAACATAAACAATGTCTCTCATTGAAAATTCCCTTTCAATATGATGCTTATTAACTTGCTGGATCATGCGGTTTTTAGCTTTCAAGAGTCTGTCTTTTAACACTTGAATGTTTGTCTCACTTGATGTGCATAGGTGATCAACAAGATCGTTTAATGAATTCTAGGTAGATAACATAAATAAACTAAAGGAGGGACACCACAAACTGCCTCAAATGGAGTCGCGCTAATGGAAGAATGGTAGGTAGTATTATACCATAGTTCAACCAAAAAAAGCCAATGAACCCATTACTTTGTAAAGTCACTAGTCACACGCCTTAAGTAACATTCAAGGAAATGATTCAGAACCTCAATTTGGCCATCTAACTATGGATGATAGGCTAAAGAGTAATTTAACTTAACACCATAGAGCTAAAAGAATTCCTTCCAAAATTTTCTGCAAAAAAGAGGATCACAATTAGTCACAAGGGACTTGGAAAACTTGTGAAGCTTGACAATATTATCAAGAAAGAGACAAGCTACATCTGAAGCTGAAAATGGATGTTTAAGTGGCATGAAATGTGTAGCCTTGCTAAGTCTATCAACAATTGCCAAACTCATTGTTTTAGAATATGAGGGAGGCAAGCCACTAATAAAATTTATAAAAAAACTCAGACCACACATGATGTAGAATAGATAAAGGTTGTAACAACCCAAGTAAAGCAACATGTTCAGATTTAAAATGCTGACAAGTAAAACATGAACTAATAACCCCTTCACATTATGCTACATTCCTTTCCAATAAAAAACAAAGGCAAGCCTTTCATCTGAATGAAAGAAAGCAAGCAAGTTATACTTGCATTTTGGTTTAAAAATTATTCATTAAAAATTTTAAATTTAGACTGTTAAATTTTTTTTAATGGTTCAGATCTCATCATAATGTAATTTCTTTGATAACCAAAAACAATTTGCATTTGGATCCAATCCTACTTTCCTTCATTCCTATTTTCCATCTTAAATTTTTTTGGATAAGTTTCCATGCTTTTAATTTCCATTCTTCTTCTTTCCAAAAAAAAAAAGGCTTTTTTGTTTACCTGACAAAAAAACAAAGGTGACTTCTACCTCTACGCTTTCATTTTTATTTTAATTCCAATTTCCCATTAACCTTAATTGAACCTCCGCGGATCCCCCTCCTCCTCCATTAGTCAATTTACACCTCTCAGTCAATTATTCATGTCCAGATTCTTCCGGCTTTATTACAAACCAAACCCCGACACCGTTTATTTTTAATTAATTTTTATTTTGATTCTAAATATAAGATTTCAATTTACTTGATCTTTCATATTTATCTATTTTTTAAGGTGATCTTTGTAATAATGATAGTTTTAGCCAAATATACTTGATTAGCAAGGATATTTTAAAAGAGATAATACTTATTTATTACAAATAATTAATTTAATTAGTTTTCTTAATCTACTCAAATTAGTCAACTAGCGTTTATACTACCTCCAGTCCTGAATATAAAAGTTAGTTGACTAATTTAAGTAAATTAAGAAAATAAGTTAAGTTAGTTATTTGTAATAAATATGTATTATCTTTCTTAAAATATCTTTACTCATCAATTTTATTGATTAGAGTTATTATTATTAGAAATATTATCTTGAAAAAAACTGAATAAATGTGAGAGATAAAGTGAATTGGGATCTTATATTTAAAATTAAAATAAAAGTTAAATAAAGTTTTATATTAAAGATTAGAGATAGTACTAGAGTTAGCACTCATTTATGCTTGAACCTCCACGTCTCCCCGTACCCATGGTTCCTTTTTTGGGTTAATTCAAATAATCCACTGTCTTCTACTCCTTTTGTTATTAATGTAGAATCTAATTAATAAATTAAAGAGTTAATATTGATTTTATATGTAAAAATGTAAAACCTATATCATATATCTATTAATTTTATTCTAAATAAATTCTATTAATATTCTCTTAATAATAATCAAGTAGAAGAGAAAATGAGGGAATTAAAAAAAACTTAGGATATTCTAGAAAAACATATTATATTAACTAATTTAATTAATATTATTGATCTATTTAAATTAGTTAATTAGGTCCTGATCAGATAATTATATATTTTCTACCATATAACTCACACCGAGCTACTACACCCTTCGTAAATGTTCCAACTCACAATTAACCTCACCCTTTTTAAAAAAATTAAGAACAGTGTTGAGTGTTAATGGTTGTACGTCGCCAACAAAAAAGTCCATTACTATTTCCATTGGTTTCTTTCGTCCTTTGTTTTTTTTTTTTTTGTTTTGGTTTTTTTAATCCACCACTCTCTATAGCATCCAGTAACCTTTTTTGATTCATCACCGCATCCCCGTGCTCCCTTGTCTCCTTTCCGTTCATCCGCATCCATTGTCACTCCACGCGATTCTCTTTCCAATTCACGTTCTTATCCCCATCATGAAGCTCCTCAGTTCTGTCTCCTCCTTCTCAGTTCGTCTCCTCCATTGAAGTCGTCGCCATTGATGGGATTCATTGCAAGCTTGATCAAGCTCTTGAAGAAAGCTAAGGCTAAGCATCTTCAACTTCTAGAAGAGCGCGATGATGGCTGTAGTTCAATGCATTGAAGGGTATGTCTCTTTCCTACTTTAATTTCCCATTCAATTCAGTCCAAGACCAAACAGGCTCACTTTTTTTTTTTCCTCCCTGGCCTATCATGGCCATTCAAAATAACCGTTTATTTTTATAATTTTCTTTATTGTCTCATTATCCATTTTTCCAATCCCCTACGGCTGGCACCCATTGTTGATCAGGTCAAGTGTACTGTTCAGTGCTTTGTTCTTTTGCGTAGACTTGATCGTTTACCATCGCGGGCGGCTTCCAGGAAACTACTACCGTTCAGGGCAATTACAGGTGCTAATCTTCTTTTTATTTCTATTTTGGCTCTGTCGAATTTACCTCCATGAGGACCAAACTTCGTCTTCTTCGTCCAAACATGAGCTTCAATCGTACGACTTCTGTGTCGTCATGGACCATCTTCTTCCTCTGTTTTCCCCTGCTTTACGCTTCCACACTTGCTTCTTTTTACACCCCCGATGATCTTTTAAGCATTAACTGTGGCAGCTCCCATAACTCAACGGGAAGTGGTCGGACATGGGCGGGAGACAACGATTCAAAGTTCTTATCCAAACAAGACGAATCTGTTCCAGCCACGGCACTTACCCAGTCTCCTTCTGCCCAACAAGTCCCCTACACCACGGCTCGTCTCTCTCGCTCTCAGTTCTCATATTCATTCCCTGTCTCTCCCGGCCAGAAATTCCTTCGTCTCTTCCTCTACCCAGCTTCGTACCCGGGTTTTGATCGTTTCGATGCCTTCTTCACTGTCAAATCTGGTGGGTTCACACTCCTTAAGGATTTCAATGCTTCGGTCTGGGCCGATGCTTACCGGGAAGATACCATCTTCATAGAATTTTGCGTCAACGTCGGGGATGGCGAGAGGCTCAACTTAACTTTCACTCCCAATTCAACACACCCAGATTCTTATGCGTTTGTTAATGGAATTGAGATTGTCTCCATGCCTGAGGATCTCTATTACACCAAACCCGACGACTTGGGATTCAAATTAATTGGTTCGGTGGGCATGTTTAGCATATCCGACGACGTTGCTCTCCAGACACGGTACAGGCTAAACGTGGGTGGAAGCCAAATCTCATCTACGAAAGACACGGGAATGCTCCGGTCTTGGGACAGCGGTGACAGTTTCTTTGTTAGAAGTTCTTTTCTACCTGCTGATTTTGAAGGTGAGAGAAGACCCCTGATGTTCACTAAAGTTCCTAATTACACAGCACCTGAGGAACTCTATCGAACAGAACGCGACATGGGAATGCATAAAACTTTGAACATGAACACTAACCTTACTTGGGAGTTTCCTGTCGATTCTGGTTTTACCTACATGCTGAGACTCCATTTTTGTGAGCTCAATCCAGTCATCAACGATTCCTACAACAGAATGTTTGACATTTACATAGCCGACCAGTTAGCTGAGGATGGTGCTAATGTTTTAAAGTGGGCTAAGGGAAAAGGAGTTCCAGTATATAGAGACTATGCTGTAATTGTTTCAGGTAATGCAAAACCAGCTTCTCTTTCACTCAAAATGCATCCTGAACCGGCATCGAAAGTTGAGTACAGTGATGCATTCTTGAATGGACTCGAGGTTTTCAAGATCAGCGATTCACAAAGTAATCTCGCCGGACCTAACCCTGATCCTCCTCCACCCCGTCCCAATCCTAATGATCTACCCCAAAAGCAAGCAAGAAAAAACAGAAGCAAGATTTTAATCGGGGTCATCGTCGGCGTTGCAGCTTCCATTGTGGTTCTGATTTCCTGTACCGTATTCTTCCTCATCAATCGTGGGAAGAAGGCCAAGGAATCTCGCAAGTCCAGCTCTGGAACTTCAAAGTGGGCTCCCTATTCGTTCACCACAACAAAATCAACGAGCACAGCCACGAATGCCTCATCTCTTCCAATGGAACTGTGCCGTCACTTTTCCATCGCCGAGATCAGAGCCGCCACGAACAACTTCGACGAGCTCTTCAATGTAGGAGTCGGAGGCTTCGGCAACGTCTACAAAGGGTACATCGACGGCGGCTTCACTCCGGTCGCGATCAAGCGGCTCAAGCCGGGTTCACAGCAAGGGGTCCACGAATTCAAAACCGAAATCGAAATGCTCTCGCAGCTCCGTCACCACCATCTGGTCTCTCTCATAGGTTACTGCTACGAAAGCAACGAGATGATTTTAGTCTACGATTTCATGGCTCGTGGGACCCTCCGTAACCATCTTTACAACTCTGAAAATCCGGCTCTTCCGTGGAAGCGACGGCTCCAGATTTGTATAGGAGCAGCACGAGGACTGCATTATCTTCATGCGGGTGCGAAGCACATGATCATTCACCGTGATGTGAAGACCACGAACATCTTGATAGACGACAAGTGGGAGGCCAAGGTTTCGGACTTCGGGTTATCCAGAATCGGGCCCACTGGGCTCAAGGCCCATGTGAGCACAGTAGTAAAAGGAAGCATAGGCTATCTTGACCCAGAGTACTACAAACGACAGCATTTAACGGAGAAATCCGACGTGTACTCCTTCGGAGTGGTGTTGTTTGAGGTACTGTGTGGTCGCCCGCCGATAATCCGCATCGCCGATAAGAGACAGGTGTTGTTATCTGATTGGGCGAGGAATTGCTTTCACACGGGAACCCTAGGTCATATAGTGGATCCAGCTTTGAGAGGAACGATATCACCAGAATGCTTGAAGAAGTTTGGCGAGATTGGAATAAGCTGTTTGGATGACAATGCGACGCGGAGGCCGACCATGAACGACGTCGTTTGGGGTCTGGAATTTGCTCTGCAACTGCAAGAGAACGCTGAGAAGATGAGAGGAAGGGAAGGAGGAGGAGGGGGAGAAGAAGGTGGCGGAGGAGGCAATAAGAAAACTATTGCAGAAGAAAGTGATAGCATGTTTAGCAGTAGTAACAGTGTTAGCGTGGTTTCGGATTTTAACAAGAGCAGTGGAGTTAGCGTGACGAGCAGTAATGGAGATTGTAGTAAGGATACTTCTAGGTTGCTGGATAATTCAGTTTTCTCAGAGATTTTTGATCCAAAGGCACGATGATGATGAGGAGGAGGAGGAGGAGGAGGAGTTAGAGAAAACTCAAGAGGAGACTACAAAACTGGGGGATCATGACCCAAAAGAACAAGGAGTATGCTGGATCTTGTATGATTGTTTATAGCTGATAATAGAGTTTTGAATTTCGTTTTGCGCTTGTTTATGTTTATGTGAGTTTTATTATTTTAGCGACTTTACAAAGAATTTACGTTAATGTTCTTATTTTGATTTCATATATTGGTGGGTTGGGCACATGTGAATGTATGTGAGAATTCTGATCATGACAATTATTGTGGGGGAAGGGATCGGAATTCAAAAGATCTCATCTCTCTAAAGCTTACAACTAAAAAGAGGGTGCTTTAAATTTAAGCCCCACACGTCTTTCAGGTAAAAGAAGCCAAAAAAAAAAAAAAAAAAGTTAAAACAAGCCCCACGCCTGCTTTAAACCTTTTTTTTTGGTTGGTGCAATTTAAATATGATAAAGGCACCGTGATGAAAACTATAAAGAGTCGTCAGCATTTAAAAAGCTGTAAAGAGTCAAATATTGTGAGCAATATCATTCATTCTAATTAAACTTTGTGCAAATATGTGAGGCTCTTCTTTTATCAAAAACAAGTGATAACACGTGGAATTGAACCCGCAACTTGATGTCACTATGTCAGTATGAATGTACAGACGGAACACATTAAGAAACTTTAAATCTTTGATATCTATCCATACTTCATTCCACTCTGCTCTTAACATCCCCACATAACTAATCATCAATCAATTAATCAATCAATGTAGCATATTTAACGTGGCTCTTCTCTTCTTTTACTATTCATAGCAGCATGCTTCAATATACCTTGCGGGGCCATGTGTATTTGTAGCTTGGTGCAAAATTATCTCATAATAAGAGGCAGACCAGAGTTTCAGATTTGGATATCCCCTCCGCCTAAGGGTTTTGTTTTCATTTCTTCTCTGCGTTTTTCCTTTTCCCTCCCGGAAATTCCCCTCTTTCTCTGTTTCTATTCATCTCTCTCCGCCTCACTGGACTCGCGGTCACAAATGAGAACTTTCTTGCCAACCTAACCTAGAAGTTCAAAAGTGGGATTTCTCTTGAACTTTTTTGGCTTCTTCTACTTCACAGTTCGTCGTCGTCTTCTATTCCGTCTTCATCGGATTTTACTCTGTCAATGGTTTGTTTTGCCTCAGTGTACCCAAACAGGTAGTATGTCTTCAGATATGATGTATGTAAATATATTTAATATTCTTAATATAATAGCTAGTTTTACATTCAACTTGATCTTAAATATAAGATATCAATTCATTTTGTTTTTTATATTTTTCATGAAAAGATAATTTTTTATACATATTATTACTAAGTGTATTTTAAGAAAATCAACACTTATTTATTATAAGTAATTAACTTAACTAATTTTTTGAATTTTTTAAATTAGTTAATTAATTTTTATATTAAAAAATAAAACTGCTTGGCATACATTGTTTGCTGTTAGACAATTTCTTGGCATACTTGGGCTGGATGATGTTCTTTCAACAACCATCTGCGGAGTTTTTGATTACCAACTTTTACAAAATCCACTATACGGTCATTGCATTGGGCCAGGACTTCTCCTTGGTGCTTGAGAACTTTTATTTAAAGAAGCAAGCATCGTGGAATACAAGCCCAATGTGTACTATTTCAGTTCTGTCTGGTCCGCATCATGGAGTTTACTATTTTAAGATATCCCACTTTTTATGTCATTAATTAATAAGAAAAAACTATGTTGGAAGTACCTATATTTTTTTTAATTTTAAATTTTTCATCTATTTAGTTGTAATTTTCACCTAAAATAAAAAAGAAAATGCTTGAACTCGTTCACGACCTAAATGAGTTCCATTTATTTTACTTTAAACAAATAAATGTCAAAATGGAAGTTCATCTTAGCCAGAACCAGTTTCCAAAAAATAAAGCATATTGGTAAATAATTCTTACAGTGTAGTATTTGAGGAATTATTCTTGCTGTTTATAGTATATTGATAAAAATATCTAGAAATATTACTGGCATAATAACTAACACCATCCCTACTCAAATATTCACAATGCTAGGTGGCACAATAACCTTACCTTCTCCTATAAACATAGTTCAACAGTTAATTAGGCATCAGCTAACGGTGCAAAGCATGCAAGTTCCACCTTCTGGATTCTCTTAATTTGAAAGGCAACATATGCCTATTCAAGAGCTCAAGACTGCATTAATTTAGAGGAAAAGATGGCCAAGCTCAATAGTTTTCAAATAAATAGTAATCAAGATCAAACTATTATTAATGCAAGATTAGGCTCGTCTCTTAAAATTCTTGAGGTGTAACTAGAACAGCTTGCAATAATTTTGAATGCATAACATCACGGATGATTGCCAACTAATATTGTGCCTAATCTAGCTAGGGAGAGATGTCAAAGAGGAGTGCCAGGAGATTACTTTAAGGAGCAGCGAGTAGTTACCAGGCTATCTTCTTTTACCTCAAAGTCTCAACCTAAACAATACGTTGACCAAACGACCAATGAGGTACCTTTTGGGCATGGTAGTGTGGCTAGCTATTGCTGAACAGAAAGCTGATGTTGAAACTAGCTATTGCTGAACAGAAAGCTGATGTTGAAACTAAGTTGAGGAATTTGTGTTAGAATTGAGCATCCTAATTAAAGTGGTGTCACATCTTCCTTTCCCTCGAGTATTTCAAAATTTTCAAGCAGCTTCATATCAATATTTTATTCTCTATGGCTTTGGATCACATGTGTCCAAGTATGCCAAGTTTTTTAAAGATATGCTCAGTAACAAGAAATGCCTTATTGAGTGCGTAATTATATTATGGCACTGATCAAGGAGAATGCTAGTATCATTGCCCCTCATATTCCTTGAGGATACTTTTCTAAGCTCACTATTGTCGTAGGAGCTCAAGGCGAAGTGATCATCATTCTAAATAAACGGAGCATTTAGAGATACTTGAGTTTGGTGTAAAGGAAAAAAAAACTAATACCCTGTGATGAGTACTTCTAAGAATGGTATGCATCCTTCTTATTAAATTAAAATTGTTCTGTCTCAGAAAAAGAATTCCTTTTTTTTTTTTAAAGAAATCTGTACAGTGGTTATGATATCAATTAGTGTAGAAATACCATTTTCTGCATCGGATCTATTCACATCGGTTGAAGAATCGGTGTTAAAAAGGACTTTTTAAACTGGTGCAAAAGGGCTTTTAAGCTATGTACGTAGCTTAACCTTAAACACATTGGAAGAAACAGACCTGCTGTTAATATAACTATAAACCAAACACACAAAACCAAGGTGGAAAAAAAAGCAGCACCAGCTGGCTTGGGCAGGATCCCACCTGCCTTTTCTCATCATTAGCATTCACACAAGGGAATTGACGTGGCATTTATGGAGCATGAAGACATCAGCTGCTGCTCTGCCACATCCTTCCACTGCCATTATCTGCAATCCAGTAATTGCACATGGATCGATTCCTTGCCTTGAGAACAGAAGATACATAAGTATTGCTTTCGGTTCTTAATATAAAATTATATTTAATTTTTAAATAAAATATAAAAATAGCTTTCATGAAGCTAATTTACTGTAGTTATCAGGCAAAATGTTGTGAAAAAAATAGGAGGGGCATTTTTATAATTGTATGAAAATATTTTATTTTTCATAGTAGTTATCCAAATATTACTGTGAAAAAATTTTTTGTGGTAGGTTTTTAAAAACCCTCGTACGACGATTTTTTAAAATTTATCAGAATTTTAAAACTATTTCTATCGCACGATAGTTTTTTACTTTTTACGGTCAAAGCTTATGGTCCCTTATTGTTATCTCCATCTGATTTTCTCCCTTCTCCCATCTTTACTGGTGTTTTCCTCTTGCTTTTGTTATTTCAGCCATATTATCGGCGCTGTCATGTCATCTGCTTCATCCTTATTTACGAGTTTTTGGCCCTTTCTCCTCTATTCTTTCTATGGGTTTTATAATTTTGTGGTTTAGTTGTTTGAAAAAATGTGGGTAGTGTTTTTTTTTAATGAAAAACATAATGTTTGTTCTGAGTTTGAATAAATTTGTTTTTTCATTTGTCTCCTTACTTAACATACTTTAATACATAGAAGCTTGAACAGATATAATTTTTTCCTGTAGTTTATAAATCTCAGTTTGATAGCTTGAAATCAAGAATTTATTAGATCTGGGTGTTCGATTTTATCCTTATCAA